AGTTTGCCCTGAAGATTTGCAGTAGGTGCATTAATTTTCTTAATGTCAGGTTCAAGATCCGAATCATTCAACGTCAGTTTCTTTAGATTACTTAACTTATGATAAGAATTTAGGTCATCCTTCTAGTGTGTTTTGGTAGGTTTAACTAAGAACAGGCAAACAACATAGATCAACAAACGAATAAAATAACTTATTACAGATATACATGTTTCACGGTGTACTTAAACAAAATCAATAATCAATAACGTTTGATCTCCACAAAGCTTATTATAAGCGATGGGAGATTGATACTTAAGAAGTTCTAGGAACTTGATCATAACTTATTCAAATACAAAATACAGATGTTACTTGAACCCAGGTTGACCTTTTTTGTAAAATACATCAAAGGTAACGTTTTATGAACGTCTAAGACTCTTTCGTTATTTAAGACCTCACTAAGAGCAGTTATTTTCGTGTAAGAATAATTACTTTCTAGATAGCTTTGGGGCTTCCAACTTTATATTGACCTCGCTAGACATCAGGGTCAGTTAAGGGTACAGTTTTTATAAGATTATTTATTTGATCCAATGGCCATCGTAAAAGGTAACAAACCAAAATATACAATAGTGAGAATGCTATATTGTAAAAATGTACAAGAAACAATAAGAATAGTTGAATAGAATGCTATTGTACATGAGCAAATAACTAGTGATACTTTGCTTACCAAACAGTAACTATAACAATGCAACTTAGAAACAATTAATAACAAGCTAATTGGATAAGTGATTTAGGCCTACTCAAACTGTTCAGCTATTTCAAACTATTTCTAGCATAATGAAATCAAACTATTTAAACTAACTAAACAACAATACAACATTTAGTACTTATAAGCTAGTACAAATTTGGGTTTATATACCAACTTACAAGTTAACAACAGAAAAATTACAAATAAACTCAACAGACAATATGTTTGGAAAGTGATCTCACTAAGAAGCATTACCTTTCTTTACTACAAAAAAGGTTAAGTATTCCGTTCAGAGTTTGCGATGTCAATTATATTGCGTTAATTTGAACAATATTGAATAACGCGATTATGCTTTCTGTGTTTCTATCTAAGGCCACACGTTTAATTGTTGAAACTCTAAAGCCGCAACCAAAATAATCCATGGAGTGTAAATAATCGATGTACTTAATACTATAAGGGGGTTCCTCTGTACCATCCCGTTTTCAGCTCTCCTACATGACCGATTGAGGGGTAATTTTAAAGCGTACAGTATGATCTAGCAGAATCATAACTAAAAAGGTAATTTCCTTTAGGGCTTCGCCACCCTAGCGTTAATCTTTGGATTTTGTTATTCAGGATTTTCAAGTGGTGATGACCAACCTGTTTTTAACGCTTTATATTTGTATTTTAATTCTAATAGCTGATTACCCAATTAATTCTGTAAACAGAGATTGGAAACAGGGGACAAACATTTAGTTTATAAAAATGAATTTTAAATAGGCTACTTTTATGACAATTGTAACCTGATGATGGTCGATAGCCCGTTGTGGTGAATATCTAAAAGCAATAAATTTGATTTGTAATAAACTAGTAGTTTTATTCACTTAATAACTTGTCTCAAACAATCTTTATCTATGAAGAGTAAAAATTAAGTCATTTAAAATGCACAATTCGTGTGAGGGTCCAATAAATGTTCTTTCAAAACCGTAAAAACTGTTCTTTTAAATGTCTTTCCAAACTGTGCTTACTATTCTCATAATGAAATGGTATATTACGTTTCTAGTTTGGAAAATAGGTATTCATCAAAAGAGCACAGTAAACACATTTTGGACGAGTGACGTAAGATTTTTTCCCATTCTACTCTAAACTAACCTAACATCAACAAAACTGTACATATCTGTTATATATTCCCAACGACTAAAGGACTAAACACTCACCACTCATAACTTCTAAGAGAGGTTATGTTTTATTTAATTGACTCGTTGACTTATCGCTAATTATAATCATCTGGTGTCCGGAAAAAGTTCATTACAGTACAGTAGCACGTAATGAAACCCCATTTGATTAAGCAAGCGGCAAACAGCTGTTTTCCGGACTAATTTCATGGAAAGTCTATTAAAACAGTATAGTGTGGTGAAAAGTATATTTTATATCTCGTGTTAAGAGAAAACCACTATACATTTAAAAAAGGAGTGATTCTTGGTACAATGTGACAATTTATGTTTCGTTTTTAAATACACCATACACATAAATATATATGTTTAGCATTATAATACAAATAAAATGTGCCCTACACTTATTTAAAAAATCAATACAAAATGTTAAAGGATTAATAAGTGTCTTACGTGATTCAAAATTGTTCAAATTTACCATTTTATTTTACCACGTCAAATCCTTTATCCTCTATCTCTTTAATCTCAACCACGAGTTGGACAACTGAACTCCTTATTCGTTATTAGTTTTGAAAGCTGTCTAGTAATAAGAGAATGGAAAGGAAAGGCGTATAAAACGAGGACGCTCCGCAACAATAGACACATCAATTTGTCAAGTTGTCAACAATGGTTGTCTCTTGTTGTCCTCGGTTTTAACGCGGATGCCACTTGTCAATACCTCCGTATGTTTCCAATGTATAACCTAAACGGTACCCTAGGGATTGCATCTGGTTGAAAATTGATTATATAGGCAATTATCGAAGTATAAAAAGAAGTACGTGGAAGACATGTGCATCACTTTCTCAGTGAGATGATGTGTTCAGCCAACAACTATATTCTTCTTCTTTTTACAGGTTTACACTGCTACATATATATATACATACAACAAAGGGTCCACGAACCAGGAAAAACAAAGACAACAAAATATTAGGCATACGCGCTCAGAAACCTAAATAGAATACGATTGATAATAAACATTTCTTCATATTACATTTAGGATTTTGTAGTTTTGCTGCCAGATGCTGTTTCAAGTTAAATACCTTTCACGAACCACTTAGGACCAGTAGATTTAGATCAATTTTGTACTTAAAGGGTAAAACTGTAAAATTTGTTGTAGCTTTTGCGTATTAATTGGTCCTCGCCGATAAGATTTGTAAATTTAGGGAGGCCGAACTGAAGTCGTAACATGCTTCTGATTAGTTACGATGATTCTGCAGCGCCAGTGCTCTATAAAGAGGATGTTCAGTCTGTGTTATAACTTGTAAACACTTTGACACTCTTGATAAATGACAAAAAAGAGGTCATCATTGCCTACAGGATTGATTTATCACAGTAATTAGAAGTTTGCGACCTACGTTGTAACTCCTATTACACTCTCACATAAAGGTTTCAACAATAAATTATTGTTTAATTTTCAAGCTTTGTGTTCTTATTTAACTATTCGAACGAATCGTCGTCGTCAATACACAAACGAACAAGGATAGAATGAACAAAAACGAAACATAGTCTGCCATCGCAACTCACTTGACTATGTTGTAAACCCAAATTAATTTAGATTTTCTTTAGAAAAGCTTAAGAATGGTAATCAGTAAAAGCATAGATATAACACAACTAAACTGTTCGGATATTAGTTTAGAAACAATACATAGACCATGAGGAGGAGATCTATCTAAGCGAGATAAGATTTTATGCAAATTTATTGATAGGAAGCACTCATAAGAGAAACACATAAAAATATCCCCGTCACAGTAAACCTGCAGACTAAGCTAATTTCCATTTTTCTGATTGGATTTTACTAAATTATTTCCATAAACAAGTCATATTTATTCGACAGGGTAAATAAAAAGCCAAGACTCCCCATCTAATATTTGTCTAAGTAGGTAGTATACAGAGATGTCCTTTTGGTGGTCATGCAAACATAGCAAGAAGTTTAATTTTATGACTTTGAATGTCTCCCAAAAATGGAGGATTTTGGGGAAACTCAAAATGTTTAAATATAAACTCCCTTCATGTGAAACCTCATTTTAACATATTTACAAAAACTTGAAGAATTATTAAAAACAGAGTTCGCTATCTCTTCTCTGCCAAAAATGGTGGGCTAAGAGGAAAGGGGGTATCAAATAAGTGAATTTTACAATGCTTAATAGGGCTCTTTGCAAATGAATTGGGGTGAATCGTGTTAACGGGAAAAATATCAATTATTAAGAAGCTCCATAGTGAGCGAAAGGATAGTATAACCTATTGAAAAAATATTTTAATGTATAGTAGGCTAATAATACCATCATTATTGTAAACGAACTAAATTTAAAATCTCTTTTAATACAGTTTGGTCTACCACAGTGTGATAAATGTAGAATGAGTAAATTGCATAACCTTTCAACCAAGTGGATGATTGCATATCTGTGGTTTGTGAATCGATCACGTTTGGCTAGTTTTGAGGTTAATATGCAGATTACACAAAAAACTGTGTTGTTATAAAAACTGATACTTCCACAACAAATCACAATCAAAATCACTTTTACTTCTGTAAATGTGTTCAGGAAACACTTTTCGTAAACTACAGATTATACTCTTGGGCATTTGCAGTGGCTAGGATGTATTATCTAAATACATTAAAAACTCTCCTTCTAGTGATAATTGGTTTCTAATGGACAAGGTGGTCACTTATATCTAATTAACATATTGTCCACTTTTAAAGCAAAATTATTACACCTATCCTAGGTTCATGTTCAAACATAAACATTCCATAGCTCACTGGACAGTAGAATATGACATGGTTTACATTCAGGCAAGTTCTGTAATAAAGTGAAGTAGTTTTGTTAATAAGTGACAGGCCTTTGCCGGGTTTCTCTGATCCATATGTTCTTTGTATGCCTATTTATGATCCAGAGCCAATTTAAAAGTTTTCAGAGGTTCGCCAAGGTGGAATGTTTTGGAAAGAGACTGAGGATTCTTCTGGTTTAACTGGAAACAATTAGTCTTGAACTATTCTAAATCCATCTCGAGATCTGAATACACTCCTGTAATAAGTGTCAAACACTTCCAGTGTTTAAACTCACTTATTAATGACAAACTATGTTGTACAGATGACGGGCTGGTCATAGAAAGAGAGGAAATGGGCTCCAGAGAAGTAGAAGAAGATCTGGATTGGGAGAACACCACAGCCTCCTACTCGGACATCCCTGAGAACGGAACCGACTACGGCAACAAAACTACACCCATCTACTCGATTGGCCCGGATTTTATAGTTCAATGGTTAGTGTGATCAGTGTGTAATGTATTTTTGTAGATTTAGTACTATCGTTTACTGTGGAGGTAACTTTCAATAGTTATAAATCCGTTGCCGTAACAATGTAAGAAAACACTGTGAGAAAAGTGTACGGATCTATTGAGAATAGTGGTCCTAAAAATAGGTCACAGGAATGACCATCACTAAAAATATAGAAATGTTTGTGAAAAAGGATCTCAACTGAATTTTCAGCAATGCGACATTGAATAATCATAAAGATTTTGGGACAACTGATATTAAGATCCTTGGCCAAAATCATTTTTATTTACAAAAAATTCACTGAAAGACACAAATCGATGCCTATATCCAAACTACTAATATCCTTGTGCTTACAGGAAACTGAAAAAACACAGAGAACGTCTTTGTAGATACGTCTACCAGAGGTTGTTCACCGAACAATGCCGTGACACATTCAACCTATCTCATGTGTTCGGCAACTTATGGAGCCAAGGGAGCGGGTAAGGCCAAAGTATCATACAGAAAATTACACTAGGTAGCCGTTAACTGTGGGAGAGTGAGCTGGTCTAGGGGGTAGAGAGTGGTATTTCGGTCCCTGAGGTCCCGGGTTCAAATACTGCCAAATCACCAATTGATTTTATCTAAGCTAGTGCCTAACATCCTAGGACAAAAAACACTATACATCATTTAACTGGAACAGATAACCAAGATATAGAAATTGAATCAAAGAAACGTTATCCAAAGAAGATTATGAGCAGGATGTAGTTCTTACAATATGATTCAGTGTTGTTAGATTTACACTAAGAAGATATCATAGAAGATTAAAAAACCTACCATTAAGCATATGTCAGAATTTTTCATAGGTTGTTGCAATATTGTCTATTTTTCAATAATAATGTAAATTGAATTACATCAAAATATTCATTTATTTGAACTCAACTTAAGTCCAAACTGTCCTGATTATCATGAACAGGAAAGTGTCAAAAACAAATTAACAATAATAAATTTATGATGGTTTGAAATTCTAGTATTTGTAGTGTTGTAGTATGTTTTTAGTTGTTGTGTTTGGCTTTTTAAATTTGTGACAAAGGTAAAACAAACCAACCAGTAAGGTGATTTTAACTATGATTTCAATAAATTATTTGATTACACCAGCCCAACATTGTATCGTTCAGATTATTCTTATTCATCTTTCGATCACGAAGCAGGCCATTGTTTTTGATGCAATAGTTCCCTTAATTTTTGAAAATTGTTCAAATAAGGGTTTTTGTTTGTGTAATAAGAGTGAAATCTTTTCTATTAATTATAGCTTAATGCTAACCATAATATTTATAAAAAAAATATTGCCTTTTACGTAACAGTTTCTATCCAAACTCTCTTAACGATCGGTTTTGAATGTCATTCCATAGATCGGACACTAAAGGCAAAGCAAATAGTCAAGGTGGGTCAATATCATGTTTTGAAATAGGCCAACTGGCCAACTTAACCACCAGTTCTATTTGCTTTATGGTTTGGTTTTTTTATGGCAGGGTCTACTAGGTTTTTAATATATAACAATACTATAATGCATTATTTATTAGAATTTTCTTTAAAAGAGTATCCCAAAACATAGCTCCAGAGTTCTTTAGAAAAATCCATGTAGAAAATGGCTACATAGGAGTTATGTTTGACCAAAATCAATTACCATTTTAACTGTAATGTGTATAGATTGAAGGCCATTTGGAATATTTCTATCTATATCACTGTATCGTGTCATGCCAAGAAAGTGATCATCATTTCCACTATTACATTTACTGTGGTCCAGGTACGCGTCTTGGGGAAGTGGTGACATAGTGGCAGACTACGACTCGGGGCCAGACTGGTACAATTCGACCGCCAACACCACCGAACCTCTTCTGGTCAACGTCACTTCTATCCCAGGGGTCACAGAGCTTACTCCTGTCCTCCCAGTCTTCGAACCCTGGCAGAGTTTTCTCATCGCTCTGTTCATCGGCATCTGCATAGTGCTGACAGTAGGCGGCAACATTCTGGTGCTCATGGCATTCATTGTAGATCGCAGCATCCGACAACCCAGCAACTACTTCATCGCCTCACTGGCAGCTACTGATATGCTTATCGGTAAATTAAATAATTACAATTTTAACTGTAGCCTATAAGATAATTATTTTACTTTTTTCTTTCTTATTTATTTTTGTTCTTCTATTACATTCTTTTAGTTAATTCTCCTATTTATTGTAGTAAGTCTTCTCATGCTTCAGCTCTTATGGCCGAATAGTGATGCGGGTAAAACATATGTTAGTAATAAATGCTCGATAAAACGATTGTAAGATAAATGTGATGATTTTTATAGCTCTACCGCAACAAAAATACCTTATTAAATGTAGGCACGATTACAACTAAAGAACCAACGATCAATCACATCTGGTTTCGGTCTGATAACCTATTCTGAACCCCGGCTATGCAATATAAATATGCAAACAGTATATTTTCCCATAACAATTCATATTTTGCCCCTTCTTTGTTTAGGTCATAGTTTTACAAATAATGTGCTAACAGACTGATCCATAAACAGTTAAATACCATTGTATTTTTTATTAATACCAATTTTTTTAGTTTAATGTAACCTAATTGCATATAGCCTGGACACTATACAGGATATTAGGATTTGACCATTACCTAAAATTAGGTAAAAAGCAACACACAAAATTACTTGCCATTATTGACGTAGTTTACTACGTAATGATTCCACCTTTTTATCTGTAGGACAGTAAAGACCATTATTCCTCTGCAAATTTAGGTAAGAAATTGTCGTTTGTATCAACCCATAGATTATGTTACCAATCTTGGGCAAATATTGAAATACATTTTAAGGGAAATGGATTAGATAATGTTATGATTTCAAAGTTTATTTCCGTTTATAATATCCTGGATATTGGAACCAGATGAGGACACAGCTACGTACATTGATAAAAAAATCTTAGTAAATCTCTCACAAAGGTATCGAGAGTATCTATGTATAATACAGTCGGCCTTTAGTAGAATCAGTAACATTTGAAAGTAAAAATGGAGTAAAGGAAAGTAGTTATGACCTTTTATTATAATTGCCTACACGAGAGCCAACCTATGCTCGTAAAGACAGTTAAGATCAAGGGGCAATTTGACAATTTAAAACAGTAAAACAAATATATAGTTTGGCCGCTTAGAAAACGATCTGCGCGCTAATGCTAAACCAATGCTGGAGGAGGTCGTTTTCTAAGCGGCCGAACTATAGTACTTAGCTTATACGTATATTATACTTAGCTTAATATTATCATCGTGGTATATATATGTTACAGGCAAAGTATGTAATGCAGGCATTTATCTAGTATAGTGACGAAGGTTGTTTTGAAAAGCTCGTGTATCAGAAAAACGCTTAATAAATACATTTTTATTTATTTATTCTATAGAATGACTAGGCATTCTATACAATGTCTGAAGCTTTTAGGCAAAGTTACGATAAGCTTTTATACATTTTGACTAGGCATTGTGTATAATGCCTAGGCATTCTATAGAACGTAGGTGTGTTAGGCAAAATAAAAAATAAAGATATTTGTAAGCAAAACATTCATTTAACAAGATAGATTTATTTTGTAAAGGGTAAGGTTAGTTTGGTAAGTTTTAGATTAGATTGAATCATGTCAAAAAATGATACAGAAGTCTAAACAAATCTTTTACAATAATAAAATATTGTGTATGGTTAGGTTAGGTAAGTTTATTATAGACTAGATAAATTATTGTCAAACAAGGGTACAAAAGTCTAAAAAATACCTACAACAGCGTATTTTATACTTTGCCTACAGTGCCCACAGGTATTCTATAAAATGACTAGGCAAAGTATGTATTTAGCTCTATTTCATACCTTGTCTGGTTAATTTTAGACATTATATAGAATGCATGATTATGTAACAGCGTGTGAAATAAGTTTTGAAACATATGGCTTAATTACAAGGAAACCTATTCACAAATTCTCCTGTTTCATAACAATAACTACCAATATATTCGATATACTCTACGATGAAGGCAAGTAAAAAGGGGGGACTGAAAGTGAACTAAGGAGATTAAGGATTCCAAAGATTATTTTTGTGGTTCCAGGGACAGTTTCAATGCCGTTCTACACAGTATACGTGCTGATGGGTTACTGGGACCTAGGACCCATACTGTGTGACTTGTGGTTAAGTGTGGACTATACAGTGTGTCTAGTATCTCAATACACAGTACTTCTCATCACAATTGACAGGTAAGCTGGAGATAGTAGTTTATATAAAGTCAGTGTAAAATGTTGTATACAGGGCGTTTTTTATCTCGCTTCTTCATTTCTGTAAAAGCTGCAATACATAGAAATATGCAGTTTGCGGGAATCGTCTATTGACGTAGGGGCCACAATTGTTGTGAATTTAATGTGAAGTTCCCATTCACCCCCTTTCTCCCCTACCCTTAACTCAAAACATTTTTTAACGGCTGTAGCTCAAAAATGGTAAGAGCTAAAATGATTTGAAAGAATTTTAAGGTTCAGGAATAAAATTTTCTACAAAACACCCTTTTCACACACCGTTTTCCGAAAATCGCACTTCTTTATCTTCAAAAATCGCCCAACCTCTAAAATTTGTAAAATTTCTCGGATATTTTAATGTTTTTTTTTATTTGACAAGCATGTATTTGAGCTACAGCCGTTATAAAAAAAACGTGTTTTTCTTAAAAAAAAGGGGGCGAAAAATTCAAATTTTGAACTGCCATAACTTTTGATAGGATTGACGTAGAGATTAGTTTGCGCCATTCTTTTTCTTTTTTCATGCCCTCACGTTTTATATGTTAAAAGGGGTACCTTGCAATTAAAATATTTTAAGTTAAGGGTAGAGGGAGAAAGGGGTTGAAAGGGAACTTCACATAAAATTCACAACAATTGTGGCCTCCACGTCAATAGACGATTCCTGCAAACTGCATAGTTCTATCAATTGCAGTTTTTACATAAATAAAGAAGCAAGATAAAAAAAAACACCCTGTTTAATTTTGCAAGGGGAGTTTATGACCACAGTTTAGAAAGACACATTTGACCTATTTCATGAAAATTGCGGTTATGCCAGTGAAAAATTGGGTATGCAATCATATTTATTTAAAAGATATTTAAAATATAGTTACAACCGAATATTTTAAACTTATGTTAGTGAATTCTGGTTGAAAAAAGAACAGTATTGAATCTGTTTACTAAGTACATGGTGTTTAATAACATAAAAACCAAATTTAAAGTACTGTGAGACATATTTTAATAACGAAAAAGCTTATATATTGTTAGTATCCCTGTTTTATTTTCTTCATTACCGATCAGTTGATATGAATTTTTACATGGCCATCTATAAGTTTTAGTGTTATTGGGAATTTATTGTGAATAGGACTCAACATGGTGCATTCACAAACTCAACGAGAGTATGTATTGTAGGTTCACGTTTATTTGTATACTATGGATCTGGTTTCCTTAAATTTGTACATGTCAATAAAAGTTGATTTATTAGGTACTATAATCACTTATAGAACCTTACTTGAAACGTATTTGGCATAAAACCAATAACTTGCTTTCAACGTATTCTTATAACTTTTAGTGGTTGGGGAAATATCATGTTGTGTGTTATTTATAAAAAATTTCCATCTACCTCATAGATAACTACACAACAATGCATAAAAGCTGATCGGCAATGAAGTAAAAAAAAGCAGGGATACCAACATATAAGCTTGTTTTGTCATTAAAATGTGTCTTACAGTGTTCTTAATTTCGGTTGCATAAAAACACCCTATATAAATTCCATCTAAAGTATTTAAGAGGATATATTCAAATTTTTTTTATAAATCAAGGAGACTTTTGGATCAAAACCATGGAATTATATAAAATACGAACTTTTATTTTACTGACTTTTGATTGGACGCTCTGAGGTATCATCCAACTCTCACACATTGTGTCACAAATGCACAAAACACCCCAATAGTATGATAAGTATTGGGGGACAACCAACTATAATGGATATAAAGAATACCATTTCTTATGAATCAATTTCCTCCATTTTCCTTAATAATAAAAACCATCAAAATCCTTAAATGTAAATCTATCTCCTCTGTTAACAAGCAAAATAATCCGAAATCTTCCAAGAATCCACTTAGAGTTGATAAAGCACATTCATAACTTAAACTAATAATTGGATCCAGTTTATAATTTGGGTTTTAATTCAAAGTTTATAACAATCTACCGTGGATCACGTTATAATGTTTCTTTGCAAGGATTTTGACAAATCTAAAATTTAAGGAAATTAAACTATAATATGATATATTTAATACACACATAGTATTGAGCTAGCTTGAATTTCTCTGGTATTTTGACAGATTTTGCTCCGTCAAGATAGCAGCCAAGTACCGGAGCTGGCGTACCAAGAACAGAGTCATTTGGATGGTGACCATAACTTGGATTATTCCGGCTCTCCTGTTCTTCATCAGTATATTTGGATGGGAGCATTTCGTTGGCTTTAGAGATTTGCTACCTGGTAAGATCGAATAACAACGGTTTCTTAAGGTTGTAACTCGGTTTCAGAAAAGTAGTTTTGACCGTAGTCTTCATCGTAAATTTTGTTTCAAAGCTGAAACGTGTTCCCATTAATAATAACATTTGTGCCAAACTGTATTAGAATCATCTTAAATGTTGCAGGAAGGAAGAGTCTTGTATCCAAAAGATTTGTTGTATTTTCTGTGCAAAATTTCAATTAAAAAAACTTCCCGCCACAGAAGACCTTCAGGCAAAGCTAATTTCCATTTGCCTGTTTTGTATTTATACTAAAATATTTCTTGAAATGTCAAATTATTTCCCCATTTAAATAATATTACATTTATCGAGTACTTTGATTGTTCATACAGAGAAGGGAACCTTTTTTATGTTAATAATATAACATGAAATTGAATAAATTTATTACTTATCAAAATACAGACACAATAACTTATTAGACAAAACGTTTTCATCCAAAAGTGCATTTTTAAGTTTAGTTTCAATGAAGTGTATTATAATCAGGTGATTCAACAAATTTTATTTAAGAGTTAAGGAAAAAGCTGTGACGCTTTAGACATGTAATATATTTAATTAATTCTGCTACTACATTACCTAGAAATGTGGTATTTTTACTGTGTCCATTCAGCAGACTTTGTGTCAAGTAGTTGAGCTAAAGAAAACGGGTTCTTTGTTGCAAAAACTTGATATGGAGAGTTTATGCTAACGATAGTTAGGAACTCAGACTCCTGACATTTTTACTAGGTCTATCATAGATTATATCATAAAGATAGGTTCCTCTTTAAAAATAAACACCAGTTCTCTACATAGTTAAAAATATATTATCAGTTTCTTTTCAAATATATTCTCATATACTTTTTTTTTGTTTAACTATTTCCCCAAAACTTTATTTTCTAAAATTAATAGTATCAAAGATAAATCCTGGGAGGTCAAAAATAAAATAAAATTCACTGCGTATATACATATTACATGTTATATTACATATAACATGGTATTATTATCTAAAAGAACATCTGCGTTATACATACTTTTTAAATTTATGTAAAACTACTGTACATAATTATTGAGCTAGGGTGAATTGTATTTTATAGCGAATTTTATTTGTAATTACTTTTATAGGCTAAAGTATTTTTCTACATTGTTTAAGTGTAGATACGTTGATCATAATCGATGTTATGTACAGTCGTTAACGATATTGTCACAATTGGGGTTTCTCATAATGTTTAAATTTAATTTTTCTACAAGCACTAACATAAGTAAGAAAGAAATTGTTAATAACAATATTGGTGTAAAATACAATGGAAATTAAACTAAATAACTATAAAAGCTGGTTCTTTTTTTGATATTACAAATACAGTCAAACACAATTAACACAATTGAGATTGCACATGAAATATACCAAAAAATAAAGACGTGCACATGTCTGTCGTTTAAAAGATTCTAAAATGTCAATACGATGGATAAAAACTTTGTATTAATCCGCTAAACTTCAAATAAATTATTAAAATGTATAGTGAAATGTTCATTTGAATACATGTTTATTCATTAATTACGATTTATTGAATTATTTTATTTTATAAGGAATATAAAAAATCTTACAATTGATATTTCTAAGGAAAGATATTATCTTATCATAATGTGACTGTGAAATAAAGTCATTGTAATTGTCTTTAGAAACATTGTTTACATTACTTGATCTTTTGCAGGTCAATGCGCAGTGCAGTTCCTGAAAGATCCTGTGTTCAACACTGCACTTATAATCGGATATTACTGGACAACTTTGGTGGTGCTTTTCATCCTTTACGGTGGAATATACAAGGTTGCCTACGATATGCAGAAGAAAAGTGAAGCGAAACAGAGGAAAATGCAGTCGATGGTGGCTCTAAGTGCTGGAGCAATGTCAGGAATGGCGGGAAGAGCAGCAGGCATCGGTTTGTCAAAAACCCAAAGTACTCTTCTAAGTCAGGACAAACCCAAAACATCCAGTAGCAGTGCAAATGCTCCTGGACCTCCACAAGTAAGCCAGCAAATTAGTGGAGAGTCCTCTTCAAGCCAAAAGAAGTCATCAACTACTGGAACTTCTAGTAACGTTACGGGAGAGACAACTACTTCGATTGATAAAAAGCAGAACGCAAATGGGTGCGAACAAGAAAAATCTGAAAGATCTAGTAGCCCAGCGTTCGATTCGGACGAAGACAGCACTGCTGCACCAAAAGAAACATTACCCGTTCAGAAAGTTGACTGGTCTAGAAAACGGTCATCAATAGCAAACATCGTTGTTAGTTCAGGTGCACTACAAGTATTTATGAACGCTAGCAACGCTAGGCTAAATGGTGTTATCCCTGCTAAATCTCCTGATTCTGCTCCAACAAACAGGATTGGTTCTAACTCAACAACTCCTCAAGCTGAGTTTGTGTCTTCTGGTGGTTTACCTCTGATTCCAGAAACGAGCTTACTCGATACCGACAATCCTTCGGAGGCTACACCAGGAAATATGTCATCAAAGACATTGACTCCTGTGTTAGCACAGAAAGATGATTTTATCAAAGACGACACACATAGCGTTAAATCTGCTTCGGAGGCATCCTCTCTTCCAGCCTCTAGCATTCATTCTCACCAATCTCACCCCTCACACCAGTCATTGCAGTCAGAGAGATCACTCGAGTCACACCAGTCACACCAATCACAGCCATCTCACCAGTCTCAACAATCTCAACGGATCATTCCACCTCCCTCTCAGTTTCAAGGCAGTACACCTGAATCCGATGGGTCACTTGCCAGCACAGATCGTCCAAGGAGTCTTCTAGTTACCAATACTCACGGTGTTTACAATGTAACATTCGATATTCTTGTTGGCCTAGACAATTCAGATCTAAAATATATGGATGAAAGTTCTGTAATAGTGCCCTCTCCTAATGTAGAGAGCCCACCGTCATCTTTGAGCTTCCCTATCAGTTCAACGACAGCACCACCATCTCCTGTGCATAATGTTATTACAGTGAGTAACACATCTCTATTACAAGCGGCTCTGATTCGAGCGGCGGCTCAGCAAGTTTCAGGGACCCCTCCGAGGATTTCTACTCCTCCCATTACCAAAGTAAATACGGAGGTAAGTTTAGAGTCCATGGTGAGCCAAAAGCCTGTCACGACAGTAGTGTCCACGGTAGAGGACCCACCCACAATAGATGTTCCAAGTGGAACACCAGCGACAATCATTTCTACGACATCAAACTCTGTAGCGACAATTCAAAACATCCAATCAGCTCCTCCTACCCCAGAGGTGAAAAAAGAGTCTTTGAAAAAGAAAGATTCGACTGAAAAAAGAGATGGATCTCGAAGAGACTTTGTGAAAACTATAGGTAAACGTCTCAAGGCCAAAGGGAAGAAAGGCATCGGTAGGCAAAAGTCAAAATCAGAAAACAGGGCGAGAAAAGCTTTTCGAACGATATCATTTATACTAGGTGCTTTTGTAGCTTGTTGGACACCTTACCACATATTAGCGTTGGTGGAGGGATTCTGCAATAATCCTCCGTGTACTAACGAGTACCTTTACCTTTTTTCCTATTTTCTCTGCTACGCCAACAGCCCCATGAATCCTTTTTGCTACGCTCTAGCAAACCATCAGTTTAAAAAGACTTTTACTAGACTTTTGAAAGGAGATTTTCACATGACGTGAGCACTTAATCCATAACATTTGTAGTGATATTAATGTATATTGTACTAATCTACTTTACGTATCTGTGACGGGAATTCTTGAAACATTCAACTATGTTAAAACTCCCTAATAATCGTTTTATTAATCCACACGCGTGTGCCAAACAACATTAAATTCGTATGAGTAGTAAATTGCCTTTATAGAGGTAGTTAGTATTTTAATCACTCAGACTTATAAGTTAAGTCGTTAAAATGCGGCTTAAATATATACATATACAGTATAACTTTAACCTTCTTGCGCAAAACATATGTTAAGTTGGTCGGCCTAATACTGTCGCGTATTTCATTCGTTTAACATAGCTACAATCGATTCAAGGATTCCTGCCCTTCTCGACTGCGCTTCACCCGGTGTATCCTAGCTTAAAACCGTTCTAGGTTTTTTAGTCTAAGTTAAGTAAGTGTAGGCTATATTTTTGTATTGTAATGATGGGACGAGTTCAAAGGCCGGTACTAGCATTAGTAATCACGGTCGTAGCTGCAGTTCTGATACATTTGTACATATCGAGGAGACACATATCGATATGCGTACTTGTTTATGTTGGCTGAACTCATCATGTTACCTAGTCAAAGCTTCAGTATCCTTAAACCTCAATTCGGATGACTTTATCATTCGATTGTTAAAGTTCTATGTTAAATGGAATAGGAAAAACCATGACCTAATTTATGTTCTAGCACATTGTATCGGTACATGTCTAATCGTTTGTCAAATTAATGTAGTTGATCGATTTACAAAAATCAATGTCCGTCAGACCACTGCGGCTCGATCTGACAATAGTCATTATTTGTCAGACCACTGCGGCTCGATCTGACAATAGTCATTGTCCGTCAGACCACTGCGGCTCGATCTGACAATAGTCATTATTTGTCAGACCACTGCGGCTCGATCTGACAATAGTCATTGTTCGTCAGACCACTGCGGCTCGATCTGACAATAGTCATTGTTCGTCAGACCACTGCGGCTCGATCTGACAATAATCATTATTTGTCAGACCACTGCGGCTTGATCTGACAATAGTCATTGTTCGTCAGACCACTGCGGCTCGATCTGACAATAGTCATTGTTCGTCAGACCATTGCGGCTCGATCTGACAATAGTTATTGTTCGTTTTCGTGTCGTTGTAGAGTGTCTAGATGATTGTTATTGTATGCTTGTTACTGTTTTGTTGTATTTGTAACCATATAGTATTCAGATTTTATACCATAGTACAGTTAAGTAAGGGTTTATAGCTAAAAACAATAATAATATTAATCAAAATAAATTATTTCTAACGATAAATTATCTCTACTATATAAAACAGTTGTTGGGTTTGAAAAATGGAAATATTTATACATATAAACAGTTTATAGAAATGTTTTATTATAATGTTGTCAAATTGTATTAATAGTTTTTATTACAAAGGAGGCCATTACACTGTATATTATATCGTCTGAAGTATGCTGTAACTATCAATATATATCGAATGTCTAAACATTCAATGATTTCCATAAAATATTTAATATGATATGTGCACATTAAATATTTTAAATATTTATTAATTTTCAACTTGCTTTGTGGTATTTAATTTTTGAGGTACATTTACAGTCATGCTAGATCAAAAATAATAGTACAATCAATTGATGAAAACTACATAAATGTCAAAATAATCCACGACAAAATAAAGCATTTGGTGGTTTACAGCAATCGCAAAGACTGTCTCACTTTTCATACAGTGGAATGCAGTACATTGGTAAGATTATTATTTCAGTATAACATAATAAATCTATTACCCAGCCGGAGTACACCTGTTTCACAAAGATGCAAGTACTTAAAGTTTTGCAATGTCTAATTTTGATGTATGGCCAGTACAACCTTTAACCAGGTAATTTTTGGCTTGAGATGATTGACAATCAAAACCAAACATTCTTTTTGTACCAAGGCGCTATTCAGATTCGTGCTAACAGTTAGCCCACATAAAAACGTTTAAAGTTTTATGGGAAACCTTGCAAAAATATGCCAAACCCAAAGTGTAAATTATTGGACAAAACAACTTGCTTTCTATGGTAAAACGCATTAGTAAATAGTTAATTTTTACTTGTTAATAATGTGAAGCATGTAACATTTTTTACGTTCCTGGTACTTGATGTTTTGGATGTACCCATTAAAATTTGCTAAATAAGGATATGTCTTCTGAAAATAGAATTAAATAAAGTTTGCAGGATTATCGCAGTCGTTAATCATCATGAATCCTATGACATAAATTTCAAAATGGAATCTCCACAGATTTATAGCAAAATGTGCCACTAAACATCGATTGACTGTTTAATCGTATCACATAAATATTTCTTCACACTCTGAAAAATTGATAAAAAAATATGCCTCTTAAAATGAGGTATTCTAGTTCTTAACCAACGGAATAGGCTAACTCGTTCAACCAAAATGACTTTTGTGTGGGCAAATTTTCATTAAGATGACTAATAAGGATAACAGTTTTAGATTGATTAGTATATGTATTGATAACATAAAATAGATTTATTGGAAAGATAATAAGTAACATGTATAGAACTTAAAAGTTGTTATGTTGGACATTTTTATGATAATTAAATGGCTGTGGATGCTACTTAATTTGATAACATGCCTTAAATTTATTTTGGAAAATAAAATAACATGTACAAAAATGTAATGTCAAGTGCACTAATAATACATCCTGTTCTACGTGCCATAAAATTTTGAACTACAAACATTTTTCAGTAGGCAACTTGAATTTCTGCCTACCCTGAAAGATGTCTTGAAAGTAATCTAACGAAAATCAGTTGAGATGAAACATTCTAATTCTAATTTGTCTTTTACAATGTTCAAGTTTTGTGAGGTTTACAAACTAAAACCGTATCGCATAAGTTAAACTGAAAGTTATTTTTCGAATGTAAATGTTTACAAGAACACTATACCTTTAGAATATACGATATTTTAGACTAGCTTATTAACATGCGTTGCTGATAGGTATAACAATAAAACTACAGGGTATCATAGTCCCAGATATATTTTCCTGTGAATGTTGTAAATAATCATATCATAAAACCATGACAATACCGACTGTCGGATACAATAAAGTAGATGTATACATGTGCGCGTGTGTGAGAGTGTGTATGTGTATGTGATGTTAACACGGACCACAGTATGTCACCTGAGCCCGACATACTTTGGACCCTGTTTGTTTACGGTATACTGTACTTTACATGTATATAGATATAGGTGTAGATTAGTCTATAGTCTACAGCTATGTCTACTTGTATATATGCTTGTTTTGATACTTTGGCTTTAAGATGTGCCATCCCACCCTGTAGACGGTACAATAATACAAACGTTTTACCAAAAGTTGTTTCCTTTCTACCCTTTACCCTTGTTACAAAATGGTGAACATATGTAGTTTAGTAGTGTGGTATGTAAAACAAAGCAAATCATCAAATGTAATGGATCATTGTATTTTGCATACTTGCTGATGTTGCTACATTCTTGATTAAATGGGAATTGACAAGCACTCGACCAATTAGAAGCCTACTTTGAGTGATTTAAATGCTGTACCAAAGGATTCAACGTGCACTAAGATATATGTTTTATTAATTCAACCAAGGTCAAACAGAGCACAGGTCTATATACAGTCATTCGTCAGCTGCACAAGTACACGAGAAATCATTTTATTTAAAAATATCATAAACAATTTATCTCATTTATCTAAAAAATCTTATAGTAAAAGTTAGACTTATAGCTCTTTGAATGGCACTTAATTTTCTTTTAAAAAGTAAAGCAAATTTACATAATTATGTTAAAACTCAATAATAGTCTGAGTGCCTAGAACGATATGAAGTAACTGATCTCAAATAAAAGTTCAAAGCATCTTTTAAAAACACATTTAAGAGGGGAATAGGACTCAACCCACTTGTTATGGCTATAAACAAGTATGCAATGGAGTTGTCAAGTACATCATGAGTTGAACTCTAATTATTTCAATAGCTTAACTATTTCAATTGGTGTGTTCATATAAATTTTTATTCAGACTTATCAGTTATATTCATATTTTGAAGCAAGACAACTAGTTGTATGGAGAGGTTAAGCCACTTATGGTAAACGTTTAAGCCCTTGAACTAATTAAACTTATGATGAGCATCATTGTTAAGTTGAAGTCAGACGTAGTTTTGTGTGTAAGGATCCTTGTTTTAAACTACCCATTCAACTAAAAATTTACGAATTTAAAGACATTGTAACGTTTCCCATTAAATACAAAACCTTTTGCGAGGTCTTCGCACGCAAGGCAAGTCTGATAGACAGGCCTGCATGGAAACATTTAGGTTACATGAAACCTTAAATTATACACCTAAAACTTCTACGGTACACTTTTGATAAAAATCCAATTTCTTTTAAATGTTATTAATTTTGACCTTAGTCAAATAGGGATATTAACTTCACAGGGATTACTTTTTACACCAGTTTCTACAACCCTTCAAATTCAGCAAGTTCTTGGAGATTTGTGAAAATAATGTATATTAAACTTACATATTTTTCTACTAACGAATAACGATTTTATTTTCCTAAGATTTTGTAATGTTGATCCAAGCGAGGTCTTTAATATCACTCCCCATCTACAAAGTTAGGATGATAGTAGATTTCTTAAATGATAAAACACTATCGTATGTAAGCTATTGATATCAATTAAATTTGGAGCTTTATATATCAAAATACAAATTCAATTTAAGGGTGGTTTTATCAACTTTATTATATGACGTACTAAATGTACTGTACATCACAATTTGTACTGTTAAACGGGAGCTATGGGTAGGTGTTTTTGTAAATAAAGGAACACAAGTTACATTTTAAATGCTCAGAGGGCCTCAAGGGGTACGTGGTGTTTACTGGCTGACATGGTGTAGACTGACGTGAGGAAGAGGGTAAAACAGTAGATTTGTCATCCTTATGGAACAGCTGAGGCCAATTTTATTGTTACTTCTGTACGTCCAACTGTAGAGGTCGTGATTTGTTCACAATTCGTTTCTTGTTATTTCAGTAATTTAAAACCTCATTTAAACAAATAAAATGATATAATCATAAACAATAACTGGTCTCTTAGTTATATAACCAAATAGTAAAGCAAAAATCATTAAATTAACCCTAAAATAATAGGAACA